GTTGTCAGAGGTTTGGAGAACTAATAAATTCGGCCAGATTCCTAGAAAGAAGAGCTGCTCCATCCAAAGTGGGATGGATGCCGTCTCTCCGGATCAGACCAGGTTTTCCCCAAAATATTCCCCAATTATCAATGTAGCCCACATCGTTTTCTGGACACCACCTAGACAGCCAGCGGTTGAATGACAGCATGCTGCTAAACATGTCGTCACTGGTCAGATCAGGGAGGGGACCAGAGAAAATTACGGAGTCCGACATTGTTTTGGCAGGTGACTGTGGTTCAGTAGGAAGAGTAGTTGTCTTGCAATCAGAAGGTTGTGGGTTCGATTCCATCTTCCTCCTGCCATATGTTGATGTACCCCTGGGCAAGGCACTTAACCTCAAGTTGCCTACTGATATGCGTATCGGTGTATGAATGCGTGAGTGTGATTGGGTGAATGTGGCTCTAGTGTAAAGCGCTTTGAGTGGTCTGTAAGACTGGAAAGGTGCTATATAAGTTCAGTCCATTTACCATTTCTTCAATTTTTTGTTCATTTAATTGATGAAAAATTTTCATCATCCAGCATTTAATTGACTCCAGGCATTTTAATAAAATGTGCAATTTCAACACTTGATTTGAAAGAAAAAAAATATACAACTGGATATCATCTGCATAGCAGTGATAGGGAATATACTTAAAAGATAACAGGACCAAGAGGAGGCAGATAAAGTAAAAACAACAGTGGCCCCAAAACAGAGCCCTGTGGACCACCAAATTGAACAGGACAGGAATGGGATCTGTAAATAGATGCAGCCAAAAATGTTGATCTATCAGTCAAGTACAAGAACAATCATTTTGAAGCAGAACCTGAAATACCAGCCCAACACCTCAGCCTATTTAGCAGGGTTGGATGGTCAACAGTATCAAAAGCTGAAGTCAGGTCTAAAATAAGCAGCACAGAACATTTACCTGCATCACTCAAAATATACTTTGAGACTCTAGAGCTGTTTTAGTTCAGTGGGATTTTCTTCCACATTTATGCGCAACCTTATGCAGCTATTTATGAGTGATTGTCTACAGCTTGTCCACCTTAGTATTCATCAAACCTGACTTGTTAGGAATTAATCTGCTGATCAGATTAGATGATTCACATGCATTTTATGCTCCTTAGTGCACAGACCAATGCGCATTTACATCTACATGTGACAAAAACAGAGGAAGTTTTACAGTTTACATCCGACTGAGGTTTCATCATTTTCTGAGATGTGTTACGTTATTGTATAAGGCCAAATGTGATTCAGTTTCATCACTCGGGTTTAAACCATAAAGGCTCAAACTCATGAAAAAACATCAGGTTTGATGCTCCATGAATTAAAAAAAATGAATGGAATCATGTTTAAGTAAGTGTATTTATGGGAGTTTTAGTTCTCTGTAGTTTCTTATTGTCGATTGAAAAAGATTGGCTACCGCACATTTTCATGGCAGGTCAGAAATTTGCGTGGATTTACGCACACTTTAACGCAACGTTCATTTTAGTACATGCCACATTGTGCATAAACTTTGTGTTGCAAGGTTTTCGTGCATAAGTATGCTTTGTACATGAAGCCCCAGATGAACACAGAGGTATTTATACTCCTCCACCACCCATGATAAGTGTTTCTGTGAATAATGTTTGACCTATTCTTGTTTCTCTTGAAATCTACAATCATTTCCTTTGTTTTATTCACATTCACGATGAGATGACTGTTTCTACACCATGCCACAAAGCGGTCCGCCAGCTCCCTGAACTCAGCTTCTTGTCCATCTGTGATCTACCTAACAACTGCAGAGTCATCTGAGTATTTTTGCAGATGACAAGAGTCTGTCTTGTACTTGAAGTCTGAGGTGTACAGAGTGAAGAGTACAGTCCCCTGTGGTGCTGCCTTCAGTCTCACAAACTGTGGAGGAAAAGATAACTCGCCTGCGAGCTTCGGTCTTTCAAGATATGCGCCTCCGCTGCGTCGTCCTGTGAGATACGCTGGAAATGGCGGCGAAAACTTTGCTTCCTCAGCGTTTTATAGCTCCAATGACGTCAGCTTCAATGTCCATTGCTGCGACGAATGCTGAGCTGCGCATGTCAAACTTCTCAGCCCAGTCAGTCTATCCAACTAAAATGGATGACCCCAACAAAACTAACTAAAGAACATAATCAGGAGGTAACCAGGTCTAAAAGGAAATGTAACTAGACTCTAAAAAGTAACAAAAACACAACAACACTGACACAGGCCGAGAAGGAAATAAACAAAACACAAACTTAAAAACCTAACACTGGCAGATCATGAAAAATCAGGTTGAATTGTATTAAATGCACTGGAGAAATTAAAGAACATGATCCTCACAGTGCTACTGGTTTTGTCTGTATGACAGTGAGTTTGTTGATGCAGGTGTATGATGGCATCTTTAACTCCATTTCCACAGAGATAAGCAAACCGAAGGGGGGTTCCTGATAGTTTATTGTTTGCCTAATCAGGTGGGCCAACAGGAGTCTCTTTAGGACCTTCATGTGGGATGTCAGGACAACAGGTCTATAGTCATTGAGGACTGATTGGCAAGTTTCTTTGGTACGGAACAAGACAGGAGGACTTCCACAACACTGGAACCTTCTTCTGGACCAGACTAAGGTTGGTGCTGCAGAATCCCAAAGAGGTGCTCTGCACAGGCCTCCAGGACTCTAGGGCTGACATGATCTGGACCTGCAGCCTTATTCCGGTTCAGTCTCTCTAGTTGTCTCTTCACCTGACTTCTACAGACACACAGGTGGAAGGGGGAGGCAAATGGAGCATTGGCATCTTCTGATTTGGTTAAAGGCAAACATGTAGAAGCAGAAGGGTCCATTGCTGAGGTGGAAGACAAAACATTTGAGTTGTGACAGATTGTGCCCATGAATGGTTTCGATACCATGCCAAGCCATTCAACAATCTGTTCTTCCACAAACCATACCAGAGAATCAACCACGACCTCTTCCAAAGGAGCAGCATCCTCAGCCATTACCTGCCTGCTCTACAACATCCAAGCTCAGTTTACAAACCTCCACCGGATTACCTCCATACTCCAATTTTGATCCAATAGGAAACCAATCTGCATTAAATTCAAATTTATGCACTACATTTTTATTCCTAAAATTCGTCCTAGTTTATGTATTTATGTTTATCCTCAGTCCACCCTGGAAAATGAGAAATTCAAATGAATCAATAAAATCCATAGTTAATGACATTCATGCTCATGATGAATGGATGAAAACGTCTAACAGGCTCTATAGCTTAGTAACCAAAAGGTACTTTTTATTTTACTCATTAAATATTTCATCTACAACAGGACCGTGGCCCAAACTATTAGAGCACTGGTCAAAAATATGTTAAGTATAAACAGCACATCTGAAAACTCGTCATTTCATTGAAGGTAGAACCTTCTATCTAAGCAGCTACTGTGATCCATAAGTCATCTTCTTCAAAGAATACCTTTCTGTAATGGTAATATTCAGTACAGAAAATAATTCCAGCCCACAGTCTGCCCTTGTAACATCAGCATACCTTCAGTGTAACTCGCAAGGTCAACCTACTAGTGACAGTATTCGCCAAAAAAAAGAAAAAAAAAAGGCCATGTGTTGGGAAACTGAAATCCCATTTCATTGTTCAAACCACAGCAGGTGATTTCTTCAGTTCCTGAAAATCTGCACCCTGCAGTTCAAAGAACAGATGATGTAACATGCAAGCAAACATCCTTCAGAGACAAATTGTATTAAAACATAACTAAAACTAAGTTTTAAAAAGGTAGATTATTTCTAACCTTAGTATTGGGCAGTTTTAGTATTTTAAATAAATAATTGTAAATAACTGAATACAGTTTTATCTGATTTACAGCAGGCTCCAAAACGATCCAAAACAAAGAGTTAAGACCCCAATTAAGAGACTTTTAGAGAAGTCTGTCTTTGGCTCAGCTAGAACTTAGACTCGTAAAAGAATGGGTGATTTAACATCTGAAAGTGGCAGCTGCTTCATGTTTTCATCCAATTTGAGGGAGTTTAATATAATGTACCAGATGGGGGTCCCTTCATTTTGTGCATTTTGAAGATTGCAATGGAACTCTGATCAATATATACTTTTAAATGGCCAAAATAAATTCCATTATTAACATTAGTTTTTACCATACATAAACATTTATACATTATCTGATATTTTTACCCATTAAATCCTAATTCTATGAATTAAGTTCGAGTTTTTTAATCCCATATACAACCCCAATTCCCATGAAGTTGGGACATTGTGTAAAATGTAGATAAGAATGGTCAAAACAACACCTGTTTGGATCATACCACAGGTGAAAATGGTAATTGGAAACAGGTCAGTGTCATGATTGGGTATGAAAGAAGCATATCTGAAAGGCTCAGTCATTCACAAGCAAGGATGGGGCGAGGTTCACCACTTTGTGAAGAACTGCGTGAGCAAATAGTCCAACAGTTTAAGAACTACATTTCATTTTGTAAACATACAATTACAGGGAATTTAGGGATTTCATCATCTACAGCCCATAATATTATCAAAAGATTTAGAGAATCTGGCCAAATCTCTGCATGTAAGAAGCAAGGCCGAAAACCAGAATTAAATGTCTGTGACCTTTGACCACTCAGGAGGCACTGCATTAAAAACCAACATCATTCTGTAACAGATGTTACTATGTGGGCTCAGAAACACTTAAAAAAATAATAGTAAAATAATATAAAATATATAATAAATTTATTTTGAATAAGAACCAAAAACTTTCCTGGATAAATGATTATTAATGGTGTTTAATTATCTATCACATTTAGTTATGTAATATTTAGGGAAATATTATTTCCTAGATTGGAAGCTAAGAACCTCGATAAATTCTTAGTGCCCATCACCTGAGTAACATGCTTAGCCTTAGCCATTAGTGGTTGGAGCTAACAAAGGAAAACTATAACCCGTTACAACTCCTTTAAAGTCAAACATGCATCTTTAAAATGCCATTAAGAAAAGCTTAAAAATGCAAAGGCATTGACAGCGCGTTATGGCCATTCTGTGTTTAAAAACCACACTTTAAATAAAGTTTGTCTTAACTTTAAAACACAACACAGAACACATACACTCACCGGCCACTTTATTAGGTACACCTTGCTAGTACCAGGTTGGACCCCCTTTCAGAACTGCCTTAATCCTTTGTGGCATAGATTCAACAAGGTACTGGAAACATTCCTCAGAGAGTTTGGTCCATATTGACATGATAGCATCACACAGATGCTGCAGATTTGTCGGCTGCATCCACGATGCGAATCTCTCGTTCCACCACATCCCAAAGGTGCTCTATTG